GACACTTTGCTTGTTCTTAACCTTGTTCTAAATCTGTTCATATTTGTGTTGTTTGAGAAGCTAAAGAGGACCTTTTCATGGTCTGCAGTCGTTCTCTGGATTCGCAAATAGCTCTAATATGTTGAATTTTTGCGCAAAAGCACCGCGTTTACTCCGCAAACCCATTTAGAGTGCAGCGCTTAATTTAGTACAAAAATCTACAAAAAATTCCTCCTTCTTGTGTAAAATTTAATCTATAAGGTAACAGTCGTTGGTGCATTTCTACTCTTTTATAAATTGATTGAGGTTTTTTTTAGAGGCGTTCGGTTCAATAGACTACTTCCATAGTCGTTTTTTTCGAGATCTGTCCACAAGCAGATAAGAGATCCATGGTATATCACGACCAAATTAGTAAAGTTTGCACAGTGGCTCACACACATGCGGAGGTGACTGGGCGATTGTGGATTCAAAAGCTTTTCAGTCCCAAGATAACACTGGAACCGAAAGGGGGACCAACTTTAGTCCAATTTAAGACCTTTTCTTGACAAATATATAGTTTCGATTATCTGAGCACATGTCTGATTAAAAATACGATAAATTCAAATAATTACTCACGCTTCAGTAAAAATGATATCAGGAGTCCATACACTTGTCTCTGCTATCTTGATCCATGGTTTGGTGTATTTGATGGTATCCCTATTCCATGAAAGTTGTGGATCTTTCCATGACTTAAAGGATACATAATTCTCGAGGCATAGTTCGCGGAACATATAGAAGTGCATTATATTCTTACTAGCATAAACTCCTCCGAAAACTGTATGGTCTCCTGTTGTTGGTCCTAAAACAAACTTTGCATTAAACAGTAAAAACGATCACCGAGAAAATAAAATAAAAGTATTATAAAAAGGAAATTGTGCATTCTTTGCTTACCATAAACAGAAGAATAAGTTGGTTGGGAATAATAGTGACGATAGTAGGAGTATCATTGGAACCTGGCCGGATTGAAGTCTCATGAGTTGGAGGGAATAACTCATTCAAAAGAGCTCTTGCAGGAGTCAGTGTAATTTCTAAATTTGCCCCATTAATTAAATAATATTGGATGCACTTTCTTCATTTTT